TACTTAGTACCATAAAATGTACGCAGATCTATTATTAAAAGTTTAAATTTATTAGAACTCAAAACATACAAACAGAGTTCATACATGGCATCTTTTGCAGTCAAGAGAAATGTAAACAAAGATACAGTATTAAGTCAACTGCATAAAAATAACCATAATACATACTGTACTACTGTGATAATTTTGTAGCCACCTCCTGTTGCTATTTTGGTGAGCTCATATGTTGCAAGTGTCTGCTTAAAACACCATGTGATGTGGATCATCTCCCCATGAACAGTTTGTGTCTCCAGTAAATCCCATATTGCAATCAAAAGTGATCTCTTGTGGTTCTTGCTTGTTTTCATTGTGCTAGTGCAATACCATAAACCTTGAATGACACCATCCAACCTATACAGAGTGCTACTAGTGATGCCAGAAGCACTCCTGGGAAGCAGAGAAAAGTCATGACATTACAAGAAAAAGCGGAATTGCTTGATATGTGCTGTAGAGTGAGGTCTGCAGCTGTGGTTGCCTGTTATTTTAAGATAAATTAATCCAGCATAAGGACCATTTTAAATAAAATCTGTGAAGCCATGACTGCAACTACAGCAGGAGGTGTAAAAACCTTGCATGTTTTATGAAATACCTTTTTAATCTCATGTTGAAAATGCAGCTTTTATGTGGGTACAGGATTGCTGTAAGAAAGGCATACTCATAGACTTTTCTTGAATATAATATTCAAGAAAAAGTGAAGTCATTAAATGACAAAGCAAAACAAAAGTGAAGCTAGAGGATTTAAAGCCAGCAGAGGATGGTTTGATAATTTTAGAAAGAGATTTGGCCTAAAAATGGCAGGATAACAGGAGAAGCAGCTTCTGCTGACTAAGAGACAGCAGACGAGTTCCTGGGCACCATTAAGAAAATCATTCAGGAAAAAGGATATCTGCCTGAACAGGTCTTTCATGCAGACAAAAGTGTCCTATTCTTGGGTGGTAGAGGAGGACACAAAGGACATGTGTTAGGAAAAGAAGAAAGCACAGGGAATTAAGGCAGGAGGGGATAGGCTAAGTACTATTTTGTGCAAATGCAGTTGGGTTTATGATTAGGACTGACTGCCCTTATGTATAAAGTTGCTAACTCCCAAGACTTGAAAGGAAAAGCTGCCAGTTTTTTGATCATTCAACAAGAAGACCTGAACACTGAGAATCCTTTTTCTGGATTGGTTCCATCAATACTTTGTCCCTGAAATCAAGAAATACCTTGCCATTATGGGACTGCCTTTTAAGTTCTTTTGATATTGGAGAGTACCCCTGGCTACCCAGAACCCCATGAGTTTAACACCAAAAGCATCGAAGTGGTCTTTTTGCCCCCAAACACGGTGTCTCTAATTCAGCATCTAGATCAGGGGGTCATGAGGACCTTTAAGGTTAATAACACACAGTACTCTAACCTCAATAGAACATGAAAATCTGGAGGGATTACACCACTGAAGATGCCATCATTATAGAAAAAGCCATGAAAGCCATCAAGCACAAAACAGTATCCTCCTCCTGGAGAAAATTGTGTCCGGATGTTGAGCATGATTTCACAGGATTTGTAGCAGAGCCAGTCAAGGAATTTCTGAAAGAGACTATGGATAAGACAAAAGCTAATAGACACCAACCAGAGGAATCAGCAGAAGACTCAATGAAGATGCCGGTGTTTCCAACCAATGCTAGACAATAAGGAAGAAGATAACAGAAGTAGTGCCGGAAAACAAATTGACTTTAGGCAATCTGGCAGAAGGGTTCTGATTATTCAAGACTGCTTGAGACTTACTGTACAACATGGACCGTTATATGATACAGGCACTGAAACTGAAGCAAATGATGGAAGAAGGATTGGTTTTTGTATAGAAATATTTTTAAAGAAATGGAAAAGCAAAAAATACAGAAATTACAATGTTTTTCCATAAAGTTACACTGAGTGTGCCTGCCTCCCCTTCTACCTTTTCTACCTCTTCTGCCTCTGCTTCCCCTGAGCCTGCAAGACCAACCCCCTCCTCTTTCTCCTCCTCAGCCTACTCAATTTGAAGACATTTGAGGATGAAGACCTTTATGATGATCCACTTCCACTTAATGAATAGTAAATATATTTTTCTTCCTTATGATTTTCTTGGTAACATTTTCTTTTCTCTAATTTTGTGGTAAGAATACAGTGTAGATACATGTTAATTGACTATGTTATTGATAATGCTTCTGGTTAGCAGTAGGCTATAGTAGTCAAGTTTTGGGGGAGTCAGAAGTTATACATGACATCCGCTTACCCCTATTGTTCACGGGTCAACTGTATGTTGTTTTAAATTAGCATATTTTATAACTTGTAACTGCAGCCACTTGGCAGTTTTGTTGTTGTTGATTTTTTTGTTGTATTCTTTGAGATGGTCTTGCTTTGTTTCCCAGGCTGGAGTACAGTGGCAGTGATAATAGTTCACTCCAGCCTTGAGCTCCTGGGCTCAAGTGATCCTCCTGCCTCGGCCCCTTAAAGTGTTGGGATTATAGGTATGAGCCACTGTGCTCAGCCTGTTGTTTTTGAGTACCTTTTAAAATTATGATAAAATACATATAAAATTTTCATTTTGTCCATTATTTTGGTGTATAGTTCAGTAGAGTTAAGTACATTCTCCTGTTGTGCAGCCATCACCACCATCCATCTCCAGAACTTTTTCATCTTTCTGAACTGAAGCTTTGCGTCCATTAAACAATATTGCTGTCTCCCCCTTTCCCCAGCTCCTGGCAACTGTCACCATTGTATTTTCTATGCATTTGACTGTTACAGGTATCTCATAAGTGGAATCATATGGTATTTGTTCATTTGTAAGTAATTTATTTCATTTAACCTAAAGTTTTCAAGGTTCATCTACATTGTGGCATGTGTCAGAACTTTATTTTTTAAGGCTAAATAATATTCCATTGTTTTTATATGCCATGTTCTGTTTATTCATTCATTCATTGTTGGATATGTGGGTTGTCTTCTCCCTTTTACATTGTGAATAATGTTGCTGTGAACGCTGGTGTACAAATACCTGAGTCCTTGCTTTAAATTCTTTTGTGTGTATACCCATAAGTGGAATTGCTGGATCATATGATAATCCTATGTTTAACCTTTTGAGGAAATCACCAGACTTTTCCACAGTGATTGCACCATTATACATTTCTACCAACAGTACACAAAGGTTTTGGTTTGTCCACATCCTCACCAACATGTGTTTTCTGTTGTTGTTTTTTTTTTTAATAGCAGCCATACTAATGGGTATGTAGAGGTATCTCATTGTGGTTTTGATTTACATTTCCTAATGTTACTGATATTGAGCATCTTTTCATGTACATATTGTTTGTTTGTATGTCTTCTTTGGAGAAATGTCTATTCAAATCCTTAGCTTGCTTTTGAGATGGGGTCTTGCTCTATTCCCCAGGCTGGAGTATAGTGGCATGATCATGGCTCACTGCAGCCTCAACTTCCCAGGCTCAAGTGATTCTCCTACCTCAGCCTCCTAAGTAGCTGGGACTACAGGCGCACACCACCATGCCTGGCTGATTTTTTAAATTTTTTTGTAGAGTTGAGGTCTCACAGTGTTACTCAGGCTAATCTCAAACTCCTGGGCTCAGGTGATTTTCCTGCCTCAGCCTCCCGAAGTGCTGTCATTTTTTGTTGTTGTTAAGAGTTTTGGGTGTTCTTTATATATTCTAGATATTATTCCCTTTCAAATACATGATTTGCAAATATTTTCTCTTTTTCGTTGGGTACCTTTTCATTCTCTTGAGAGCGTCCTTTGTTGCACAATAGTTTTAAACTTTGATGACGTATAAGTTATCTGCTCCTTTTATTGCCTGTGCTTTTGATATCATTTCAAAGAAACCATTGCCAAATACAGTGTCCTAAAGCTTTTCTCTGTGTTTTCTTCTAAGAGTTTTATAGTTTGAGGTCTTTGATCTATTTTGAGTTAATTTTTATATATGGTTTGAAATAAATATCCAGCTTCACTCTTTTGCATGTGGATATCTGGTTTTCCTAGTGCTATTTATTGAAAAGACTGTCCTTTCCTTATTGACTGATTTTGGCATCCTTGTTGAGGATCACTTGACTAAGTATGTGAGGGTTCATTTCTGGGCTCTCTATTCCATTCCATTAGTCTGTATATCTGTCTTTACGCCAGTTCCACACTTTCTGATTTGCAGTAAGTTCTGAAATCTGACTCCCCCAGCTAATGTTATTTCGGCTGGGCTCAGTGGCTTACGCCTGTAATCCCAACTCTTTGGGAGGCTGAGGTGGGCAGATGGATCACTTGAGGCCAGGAGTTCAAGATCAGCCTGGCCAACATGGTGAAACTCCCCATCTCTACCAAAAATACAGAAATTTGCTGGCGTGGTGGTATACGCCTGTAGTCCCAGCTACTCACATCTACTCAGGAGGCTAAGGCAGGAGAATCGCTTAAAAACTCGGGAGTCGAAAGTTGCAGTAAGCCAAGATCATGCCATTGCACTCCAGCCTGGGCAACAGATGAATTTCTGTCTCCAAAAAAAGACAAAAGATTATTTTGATGTTAACTGATGTTAACTGATTTTTCTGCATGGACCTCCTTGTGCCATAGCAGTGTAGCTACTTGAGACTTTAAGGGCTCTGTAAAACTTTTAGTTAAGACTTCTGTAGGGTAGTATGCATTATAAAATCTGAAATGATCCAGCCTGGATTTAGATTATACAAGTTTCTTTGCCTGTATCGTCTCTTTTGGTGAGAAAGAATACACCTAGAATGCAGACAGCCTCCTTCAGGGAGGAAATAGTATTTGACATGGATATGTCTTGGGAATTGTGTCTCTTTTGCTAGGTAATCTAATAATTTGTGTAGGCTTTTAGCATGGGGTGGTTTTAGGGTGACTGCTTTCTATAGAAATGACACTCTAAGAGAATAATGTCACTTTTGAAGACTGTTACACCATAGTTCATGGTAGTGTGTAAAAGTAAAATTGTATTTCCTTTTAGCATGCCAATGAAGATGTGGAAAGAATGTTACTAGGAAACAAATGTGACATGGATGACAAAAGAGTTGTACCTAAAGGAAAAGGAGAACAGGTACAAATCTGAATGAAACAAATATTCTGCTCTTTCTTTATAATGATAATGCTACTTCTGGTTATTTTTATAGTAATAGTGATGGAATGCACTGAGCTAATAACATAGTTTTTAAAATGCTTGTTGGAAATAATATTTTGTCATTTGAGTGAACTTTTTTCAGTGCATATTTAACATGTATGGGAGAATAAAATGTGTCCATAATATTTTTAGCCTTATTTAAACTACAAAGAAAGAAAAACATAAGTCAGTAATCCTCAGTTTTTAAATTTAGGACTTTAAGGAATTTTATCAATTAGTATGATTCTAAAATGTGACGATCTAGAGCCCGTGATGAGCAGAAATTAGACCCTGAGAAGTCATGTTGAGCTTCTCTTAAGTTTGCCCCCAGAGTAAAATATCTAATTTAGAATATCTGAAATAAACTTTTCGGGTAAGGAGAGGATTATTTTGATTACTTTTCTTTTGTGTGTTTTATGAAAGAGTTTGACTTGCTGAAATAATCTATGTTACATATTCTAGTTGGGATCACTGCCTTCAGAATAAGATTAATATTTAAGATGTTAAAGTCAGCAGTTGGCAACTCATGCTTGATAATTTTATGATACTTTGTTTCTGTTTTAGATTGCAAGGGAGCATGGTATTAGGTTTTTTGAGACTAGCGCAAAAGCAAACATAAACATTGAAAAGGCGTTCCTCACGTTAGCTGAAGATATCCTTCGAAAGGTAAGTTCCTGCTTTTGTTTCCTGCTGGGTACCTGAGTGTCTCTGTTGAATAGTTTGTCTGTTCTGAGGTGCTGAATTTACATACAGATTTGAGTGTTGGTGGTATTGTTTTTATAGGGCAGCAGTCCCCAACCTTGTTGGCACCAAGATAATTCTTCCACGGACCATCCTGGAGGGTAGTTTCTGGATGAAACTACCCCACCTCAGATCACCATGGGGACTTCTGCTATAAGGAACTGGGGAAACAGAAAGCCATGTAGAAATCTGAAGGATCTAGTCAGTGGTAACAATATTCTTAGCTCCACAATCACTGTCTAGTCCCTAGTTCCCTTATTTTTTCCAGCCTTTTATCTTTCCTAGCTTTTTTTACTCTTGGACTCATTTCTCTTAATGAGTCCTTTGCATTCTCATAGATAATTTAGGAAATTTTAAGATAAGAAATGACTCTGTTATGTAGTTATTGCCACAGAATTGCTCTTCTGCCATATAGTCACTTCTCACACAAATAAAGGGCATGTACATATGCTGTATGGATGGAATAAAATCTATTATGTAAGAACATAAATAATGTTTAAAATGTGATCTTGAGGAATTCTCATTTTACCTCGGGTTTATTTTTGGGTTTAAGATTTGTGACTCAATATTTGTTAGTATAAGCAACATGTAGCCAAATTAGGAAATCTGATTTTCATATTTTCCCTTAAGTGTCTAGATATAATGTATGGATTTGGTTATGAGTCCTGAATTCTCTGTCAATCTGTTATAATTTTAAATGCAAATAAATACAGTTAAAATCTGACACACATCCTGAAATAGAAGCAGACATTGTATAGGAGAAATTGTAATTAAATTTGGTAACCTTCCTATTTTTATATTTGAAATACTAATATTTTTTCTAAAACCAACCTGTAAATAAAAGGTAGATGTTTGTTTTTCAGTTTTTTTTAACCAATTTTATTTTCTTTCTCCACTTTGGAAGGACAGATATCTGTAAAACATTAGCTGTAATAGAGGTATTATGTCACATATAAATCTAGTGAAATTTCTGAGCAGTTAAAAGAAATCAAGTTGAGATATTTACCTTGAAGTAAATTGTTATATAGTCATTAAAACAAAGGAACCTAATTTTTAGAGTTAAATATTGTAGGTATCTGTTAACTACAATTGAATATTGAAACTGGAAAAAACAGTCATCGGTTATTGCTCTTCAAGGGGGCAATAGAGTTGGTACCCTTTTGAGTTTCCCAGCTTCCTTGCATATCATGTTTTGGGACTACTGCTTTAGGAGATGTTTTTCTATGAGAATCCAGTCAGATCAAAAATTGAATTTGATTTCAGAGAATGAGAGAGGCAGACAGCAATTTTAAAAAGTATAAAGGATCTCTATAGTGTATTGAATGATAGAAAGCAAATTAGGATATAATACATGAGTGATCTCATTTTGCAAGATTATGATATCAGACACACATATGTACACACAGATAGCATTTTGTTATTTTTAGCAAATAGAGAACCGGAAGGTAGATACCAAACTCTAAATAGTACTCACTCTAAGAGAGTGATGGTGGTAAGGGTAGGGATCATAGGGCAGATTCATTTACTGACTATAGGCAGTTTCATTTTGAAATTTCAACAGATTCCTTTTTTGAATTATAAAAATGATTTTAAGATTTTTTAAAAGGACAGTCTTTCACAATTGAGTTAAGGTAAAACTCGTTGGAATTCATTGAGAAAATGAATCTATATTATTTATTGTTCTTTTGAAGAACAAAAAAATAGAAGAATATAACTAGGAAAAATTGTGTTTCTTTCCACCACCACCCCTGCTTTTTTTTGTTTTCTTTTTGAAACAGAGTCTCACTATGTTGCCCAGGCTGAGGTGTAGTGGCTGTTGGCAAGTGTGATTATGTTCTCTATAGCCTCAAACTCCTTGTCTCCAGTGATGCACTAGCAGCTGGGACCACAGGGGTACTCTATATCAAGCCTGGCTTTCTTTTTCTGTTCTTTTTTTTAAAACTCCTGACCTCAGGTGATCCGCCTGCCTCAGCCTCCCAAAGGGCTAGGATTACAGGCATGAGCCACTGTGCCCAGATGGGGTCTGACTATATTGCCCAGGCTAGATTTGAACTCGTAGGCTCAAGCCATCCTCCTGCTTCAGCCTTCTGAGTAGGTGGGACCACAGGAACACAGCACCATGCCCCACTAATTTTCAAATTTCTTTGTAGAGATAGGGGTCTCACTATGTTGTTCAGGCAGGCCTTGAACTGCTGGCCTCAAGCAATCCTATCACCCTGGCCTCCCAAAGTGTTGGGATTATAGGTGTGAGCCATGTGCCCAAAATTGTATTTTTAATTAAATAAAGGAAATAAAAGAAGTAGAAAAATGCTTTTTTTAAAATTGGCAGAAGGTACTTTATATTTCAGACATTGGTGGAGGTGTCATTATGTCATCTCTCAGGAGGAGACATTATCTAGTATTCACAATTGAGTTAAAGACCAGGATAAGACTGGCAAGAGTTACCACAGAACCTAGTGAAACACTCTTGACTCTGGGTCCTTTCTCTTTTTGGTCTTCATGGTTTCTGCTTACTGTTTGTTTGTTTTTGAGACAGAGTCTTGCTCTGTTGCCCAGGCTAGAGTGCAGTGGCACGATCTCGGCTCACTACAACCCTCACCTCCCAGGTTTAAGTGATTCTCCTGCCTCAGCCTCCCACGTAGCTGGGATTACAGGCACCCACCATCACACCTGGCTAATTTTTGTATTTTGAGTAGAGACAGGGTTTCACCATATTGGCCAGGCTGGTCTTGAACTTCTTTCCTCATGATTTGCCTGCCTCGGCCTCCCAAAGTGATGGGAGTGCAGGTGTGAGCCACTGTGCCCAGCTCTGCTTACTTTCTGTTTATACTATGTCCTTTGATCTTCTCACCAGTCTTAGCTCTTTTTTTTTTTTAATAGTGCTATAGTCATTATATATATAACTTCGTGCCCAGTGAGGTAGAGCTTTCCTTGTCATTATTCAAGCTTAAATATGAGTATGTTAATAAAGATCTCAGTCTAGACTCACAGAAGTGTCCAGTCTTTTGGCTTCCCTGGGCCACACTGGAAGAATTGTCTTGGACCACATATAAAATACACTAACCATAGCTCATGTGCAAAAAAAAAAAAAAAAAAAAAACCACACACAAAAATCTTTTATGTTTTAACAAAGTTAACAAATTTATTGTGTTGGACCACATGCAGGCTGCAGGTTGGACCAGTGTGGTCTAGAGTTTTCCCCAAGTAAGCAGGCCCAAATACTAGGTAGCAGTTTTGTTTCATACACTTAAATGTGGTGACGTTATGAGTTAAAACAGCAAATGTAAACTCGCTTCATGTTAGAATTAACTTAGAATGAAAGCAATTTAAAACATCTTTTAACGTAATTATTTGGCTACATAATTCATTCTCTTGCTTCAAACATTTAAATGAAAAAAAAAAAAAAAAAGGATACAGAAATTTCCCAGCATGTTCCCTTTAGTTCCCTCAATAGCAGTTGCCAATTCCTCATTTCCCCCTTACTCGCCTGGTAACAGATATAATTAATTTCTCAGTTATTACTCTGAGTAAATATGAATATGTTTTTATCCCACTTCCCTGCCCATAACCTTTTACTTTTAACAGATAACACACTCCACTGATTGTCACTTTGCTTTTTTCGCTTACTATAAGTAAAATAATTTTACTTTTTAAATAATTATATGCTATTCCTTTGAATATTTATATCATAATTGAACAAGTCTCCCAGTGAGGGACATTTAGATTATTTTCAAACTTACTTACACATAAGCTGTGTTTGTGGCACGTAATCTTAAGTTTAAATTATTTCCCACATGCACATACATTTGAAGGACAGATTCTGAGAACTGGCCAAAGAGCGTACATGTACATACATTTGCAATTTTGATAGATGCTGCCAGAGTCTGTCCTGAGGGTTATACCTATTTACACACCCACTTGCAGTATATGAGAATGTTACACCCTGGCCAGCACAGTGAATTTACAAGACTCAGATCTTTCCCAGTCTAACATGTTAAAAAATGTAGATTTAATTTGCAGGTAATTTCTGAGTAAGGCTGAACATTTAAAAACATAGGTAGGTAGGTGGGTCTGTTTGTTTTGAGATGGAATTTCGCTCTTGTTGCCTAGGCTGGAGTGCCGTGGGATGATCTTGGCTCACTGCAATCTCTGCCTCCCGGGTTCAAGAGATTCTCCCGCCTCAACCTCCCAAGTAGCTGGGATTACAGGAACCCACCACCACACCTGGCTAATTTTTGTATTTTTAGTAGAGGCAGGATTTCACCATGTTGGCCATGCTGGTCTCGAACTCCTGACCTCAGGTGATCCACCTGCCTTGGTCTCCCAAAGTGCTGGGATTACAGGCATGATCCACTGTGCCTGGCCTAAACACATATGTTTAAGAATCACTTTTACATTTCCTTTTCTGTAAATATTTTTGTTTATTCCTTTGCCCAATTTTTCTATTGGTGATTGGCCTTTTCTTATTCTTAGCTAGGAGCCAGCTTAAAACTTTTAATAAACTTAATTAAAACTCAACTTGAACTTAATAAATTAATATTTTGACTCTAAAAGAGTTTGCTCTGCAAGAGATACCCTTTTTTAGAGTCTGTTTCAAGGATCTAAGTTAAATTCTAAAAAGTCAGTGAGATGCTAAGAAAATCAGTGTAATGGCCTTCCTGGTTACCCATGTGTCTTGCACCTGACCCATATGTAGAAGTTCCCAGAGAGAGTATTTCCAAAGCAACTCTACTTTTTTTCTTGCTGGGTGCTGGTCTGCCTCTTATTCTTCTTTACATTTTTCTCAAAGATCTATATTAGGAGCAAAGTCACTTATACAGGAAACCCCACAAAGGTCTTTGTAATGTATAATTTGCTGCTTTAACATACATGGAGGAGAAGAATCCAGAGTAGGTAGGTGAGATCTAAGGGCACGTAACAATGTCACCCATGAATTAAGTAGGCTTCTCTTAGGCTACTTGAGATTGTAAAATATTTTAATTTTTTCCCGCTTGGGCTACACAAGCCCTTATTAACTTTATATTGTTTACATGAGAGAATAAGTTCTCAGGTACATCCTAGCTTTCAAAATGTTGTGATGAACTACTGTTTTATACAACAGCATAGGTAAATCTCAGAGACTTGATACAGAGTGAAAGAAGTCAGATGCAAAAGAATATATTCACCTATGGTTCCATGTATGTGAAGGTTAGGAACAGAAAAAAAATGATAGATGCTAGAAATCAAAATATTGGGTAGCTTGAAGAAAGCAGTACTGGCAGGAAAGGGAGCTTTATTGGGAATATTATGTTCTCTATCCTGATCTGGTAGTTTGCCAATATATACTAAAAATACATCAGGCTTACACTTCAGCTTTATGTGCTTTTCTGTAAGTTATCACTTTAAAAATACTTTTTATATATAAAGTACAGGCCTACCCTTTTAAAATACTGTATTCTTCTGATTTTATTTTTTGTTTCTTTCTCTTTTTTTTTTTGAGATGGAGTCTCACTCTGTCGCCGAGGGTGGAGTGCAGTGGCACAGTCTCTGCCCACTGCAGCCTCCTTCACCTCTTGGGTTCAAGCGATTCTCCTGCCTCAGCCTCCTGAGTAGCTGGGATTACAGACATGCACCACCACACCTGGCTAATTTTAGTAATTTTAGTAGAGACAGGGTTTTACCATATTGGCCAGGCTGGTCTTAAACTCCTGACCTCAGGTGATCACCCAACTCAGCCTCCCAAAGTGCTGGGATTATAGGCATGAACCACTAGACCCAGCCCTTCTGATTTTCAAAGTAATATTTAATGTTAAGAAAAAACAGAATTATACTAAGGATAACATAAAATCAGCCAGGCACGGTGGCTCATGCCTGTTACCCAACTAGCACTTTGGGAGGCTGAGGCAGGTGGATTGCCTGAGCTCAGGAGTTCAACACCAGCCTGGGCAACACAGATGAAATGTAGTGGCATGCACCTGTAGTCCCAGATACTCAGGAGACTGAGGCAGGAGAATTGCTAGAATCTGGGAGGCGGAGGTTGCAGTGAGCCAAGATCACGCCACTGCACTCTAGCCTGGGTGGCAGAGGGAGACTCTATCTCAAAAAACAAAAACAAAAAAAAGAATAAAATCAAACATAATTTTACCACCTAAGGGTTGCTACTGTTAGTATTTTGTTGTATCTCCTTTGGGATTTTTTCTGTGTCTTTTTGGGGGGTTTGGGAGGAGTCTTACTCTCTTGCTCTGTTGCACAGGCTGAAGTGCAGTGGAGTGGTCATAGCTCACTGCAGCCTTGAACTCCTGGGCTCAAGTGATCCTCTTGCCTCAGCCTCCTAAGTAGCTGGACTACAGCCTTGAGCCAGTGCATCCAGCTAATTTAAAAAATTTTTTATACAGATGGGAGTCTCGCCATGTTGCCCAAGCTGGTTTTAGCTCCTGGCCCATCAAGCGATCCTCCCACCTGGGCCTCTCCAAATGCTGGGATTACAGGCATGAGCCACTGTGCTTAGCCATCTGTAACCATTTTTAACATGAATTAGATAACTACATCTTGTCCACCCCTTTTTACTTAATCATAGTTGAGAGTGCCTTTTAAAAACTATGGTACAATAACAAAATTAGTCTAAAAAGGCAGGTAACTAAACAGAGAAGAACTGTTTTATTTCTGTGACGTTACACATACCCAACATTGGTTTTATACAGCTTGCTTCACAATGCCTTTTAAGTACTAAACATATTCAGAGGTCAGGGCTATAAGATAACAAAATCTATTTAAGAGTTAGAGCAGAGATTTCAGAAGCTTTATAAAGGGATGCCAGGAGATGTCTACAATATTTCACAGCTTGGAGGAAGCAGGCAAAATGAAGATCAAAACAGAGCTTCCAGATCTTTGCTCTGCATGGAGGGGAACCTATCTCATGTGATTGTAGTTGTATTTTGTTGCATAAATTGACATTTATGAGAATATTGCTGTTGAATCTTGATTTTATCCATGGCAATGTTTTTTCACGGGTTATTTTCCTTGTGTGTTTGTTGCAGACCCCTGTAAAAGAGCCCAACAGTGAAAATGTAGATATCAGCAGTGGAGGAGGCGTGACAGGCTGGAAGAGCAAATGTTGCTGAGCATTCTCCTGTCCATCAGTTGCCATCCACCACCCCGTTTTCTCTTCTTGCTGCAAAATAAACCACTCTGTCCATTTTTAACTCTAAAGAGATATTTTTGTTTCTCATCTTAACTATCCAAGCCACCTATTTTATTTGTACTTTCATCTGTGACTGCTTGCTGACTTTATCATAATTTTCTTCAAACAAAAAAAATGTATAGAAAAATCATGTCTGTGACTTCATTTTTAAATGTACTTGCTCAGCTCACCACTGCATTTCAGTTGTATTATAGTCCAGTTCTTATCAACATTAAAACCTATAGCAATCATTTCAACTCTATTCTGCAAATTGTATAAGAATAAAGGTAGAATTAACAATTTTATTTTGTACAACAGTGGAATTTTCTGTCATGGATAATGTGCTTGAGTCCCTATAATCTATAAACATGTGATAGCAAAAGAAACAAACAAAAGTCAGGAAAACACTCATTTTCGCCTTGACTATATAAATGGGATTAATTTTGTCCTGTGCCTTATGTGGAAAGGAACTTCTTTGGTTTTCCTTTTTTGTTCTGGTGGAAGCATGTGCAGGAGACATATCATCCAAACATAAACCATTAAAATGTTTGTGGTTTGCCTGGCTGTAATTTTCAAAGTAGTTAATTGAGAACAAAGGGTAATGCAGAAATGATAGCTTTGGTTTGCTGAGTCTTGTTTTAAGTGGCCTTGATATTTAAAACTACTCCTGCCACCATTTCTTCTCCTTGGCCACTTTTTCCTTACGTCTCCCTCCTGCATGCTGCTTTATTTGCTTCTCCCTCCCCCACGACCTCATGGTATGAGTTATTTAAGAGTGAAAGGGACAAACTAGTAGGTTCATCAAGTTTAATATAAAGCACTGATGTAACTTGGTAGGTAAACCAGAAGATAAGTTCTAACTGCCTACTCTCCTATGTCAGTTAATTGGTGTCTTCCCCCTCATTTGCTCTCTGCCCTAAAACCTGCCCCAGATTCCTTCATTCGCTGTTTTACTTCTATATTCTATTTTTCCTCCTCTCTTTCTTCCCTTCATGTGTATCCATTGAGTTTATGAAATGGAAGAGTTAACTGCATGCACTAGTGTTTGGAGGGTGTTTGTGGTTTGTCTTTCTAATTAGGTGTATAGCCTATTCACTTTCCTAGAATGAACCTCTTAACCTAAATTTGAGTAGTCTCCATTTTGGCAACTCCTCTAGCAGTTTGGTAGCCCAGTACAGGTTGTTTTTTAAAAAAAGAAAAAGGAGGAGTGAATTTTATTAACATGTTTGCCAAATGTATTGAGATTTGGCCTCAAGAACACTTTTTCAGTGTTAAGTTGTCTTTACCTTAAGATTTAGAAATACTTTAGAGTATTACTAATTCTAAGTCCTATCTTCACATCCTTTTGGGAAACTTGTATTACCATGGATTTGGAAAAAGGACAACAAAAGGCTTTTCATGTAAAGATAAGATCTCTAGCTATCTCTAACCCTGTCCTTTTTTCACTGCATTTTTTCTAGTTTTGCTTCATTGCTTATCATTAGGATAGGGTAATTAAGTTTGCTATGCTGCTAGCGTCCTAAGATGATACCTTTGTTGAAAGAATTGTGAATAGCATGATTCATTTCTAGCAGAGGCTGAGTTTAGGACAGCAGCTTCCACTGAGAAGTCTTTCTGTGTCGTGAATAGCATTTTAATGACCTCTTGGCTCACATAAGCAAACAACATAGGGATGTATCTGCTATGAAAATCCACAAATTTTTCAGATAGTGCCCTAAAAACAGTTTTATATGCCTCACTGGTTGTTATTCTTAGGTTGTTCCCACACTTGACTTTATCATTGTTTACTACTAGTAAAAAGCAGCATTGCCAAATAATCCCTAATTTTCCACTAAAAAAAATGATGTTAAGCTTTTTGAAAATTTAGGTTAAACCTACTGTTGTTAGATTAATGTATTTGTTGCTTACCTTTATCTGGAATGTGGCTTTAGCTTTTTTATTTTAACCCTCTTTAATTCTTATTCAATTCCATGACTTAAGGTTTGAGAGCTGAACACTGGGATTTTTGGATAACAGACTGACTGTTTTGTTTGCATAACTATAATCGGCATTGTACATAGAAAGGGTATGGCTACCTTTTGTTAAATCTGCACTTTCTAAATATCAAAAAAGGGAAATGAAGTATAAATCAATTTTTGTATAATCTGTTTGAAACATGAGTTTTATTTGCTTAATATTAGGGCTTTGCCCCTTTTCTGTAAGTCTCTTGGGATCCTGTGTAGAAGCTGTTCTCATTAAACACCAAACAGTTAAGTCCATTCTCTGGTACTAGCTACAAATTCGGTTTCATATTCTACTTAACAATTTAAATAAACTGAAATCTTTCTAGATGGTCTACTTCTGTTCATATAAAAACAAAACTTGATTTCCAACTGTGTGGTTTGGTTTTCATTTATTTATGGAGTTGGAGGATTAATTCTGAAAAAAATGTGGAATAGACCAAAAGAGTGACCAAAATGGGACATCACTGTCAACCTATGGAAAACTGGAAAGGCAATTTCAAGAAATGTCTTTGCTAAGAAACTACATAAAAAATAGAATTAGCTGAGATCCTAAAGCAGAATCATCCTAGTACCAAAATAGGAGATGCCACGATCCGAGTCACACCTTGCTTACACTAGTCAGATGTGCCAAAGGCCACTGCAACTGAGGCCACTTGATTCCTCGGGGACCAAGCTGGGCTCCTCACACTGGAGGGCAAATCCCTGTTTTAGCAGCAGCTGTCCTCTTATTTAAGATACAAAGTATTGGCTGGGCGCGGTGGATCACCAAGGTCAGGAGTTTGAAACCAGTCTGGCCAACATGGTGAAACCGTCTCTACTAAAAAATTAGCCAGGCATGGTGGCACACACCTGTAATCCCAGCTACGTGAGAGGCTGAGGCAGAATTGTTGGAACCTGGGAGACAGGTTGGAGTGAGCCGAGATCATGCCACTGCACTGCAGCCTGGGAGACAGAGCAAGGTTGTCTTAAAAAACAAAACAGGTGTAGGGAAATAGGATATGGTCTCCCCCCTCTTAAATCGATGATCTAGTTTAGAAAACAAAAGTAATTCATCAAGTTAAGCATATTACAAGCGCCAAATAGTTGTAATCTGGATATTAATTGCTGTATTAACAGATCAAATTCAGTTGGTGAGAATAGTTGGGATCGCTTTTTGAGGGAGGAGGGACATTAATTGGTTCTTAGACATTAAATTGACATTAAATGTCAATTCACTGGCTGGAGCAGAGGGGAGGTCATTGTAAGAGACTGCAGAGGCTGGACAATGTGGCAGGCCCCGAGGAGCCATGGCAAACAGCAGTGTGTTTGTGGAGAGCACGTCTAGATGGGTTTGAATAGGGAAAACAAGGATTCCAGAGGTCACATGGGAAGTGTTAATCGAGGTTTCAGTAAGACCTGGGTAAAATGGCAGAGGGCAATGCAGGGTTGAAGGCAAAGGTAGTGTGTGAAGGGGGAAGAGTATTTCTAGTCAGCCTGCGAGGTGCATTTTTTTTTTTTTTTTTTTTTTTTTTTTTTTTTTTGAGACGGAGTTTCGCTCTTGTTACCCAGGCTGGAGTGCAATGGCGCGATCTCGGCTCACCGCAACCTCCGCCTCCTGGGTTCAGGCAATTCTCCTGCCTCAGCTTCCAGAGTAGCTGGGAGCGAGGTGCATTTTTGGCATTGCTCTGGGTTCTTTGGGTTGGGTCTTGAATTAGTACCCATTTTCCAAAAGAAGAAACAGTCTCAGATAAATAATTTGCTTCAGGTTGCACAGCCCATTGGTGCTGGAGTTGGATTTTGAATCCAGGCTAACACCACTGTCCCTCCTATGTATCACAGTTCTCCAGAAGGGCCCGGGGTAATGAACAGGTGCCAAAGTCAGCAGAAAGAGTCTGGAGTGGTCCTGTGACCACTTAGCCCAAACTTGGCACCTTCTAACAAAGAGTAATACCCTCGAAAAATACTTCATTTACTACTGCTTTTGCTTTAAATCTATATTACCCCCATCACCTCGCTAATTTTCCTTTGTTCTAGTCCACAGCATCTTTTAGCCAAAAATAAGCAGTCAAGTAGTGGCTTTTCACAATTCTCCTTGGCTTTCTGGGGCTCTACTTTGAGGAGGACTTTTGTGGCTTAATCATAGCTACAACAGTAACAATGGTACAATAACTCAGAGGAAAGGGGCAAGATGGCCGTTGGATACAGTTTGTGCCAGCTTCCTAGGTGGATTGGAGATAGTCTATAATAAATGAGTACAGCTTGACTTTAGGAGCCACACAGGGGAGGTGAGGGTGCAAGTGAAAGTGCTTTGCTGGTTGGTCCACTGAGTTTAGGTCTGAGATTTCCTGCACCAAGGTTAAAAGAGGGGCCTGTATTCCTGTTGCATCCCATTAAAAAGTGCAAAGCAATTGTCAAGGAAAGAAAATCTCTGGCACAAAACTCAGGAATTTTTATCATTAAGGGTCATTGAACTAAAATGAAAAGTGTCTTCAGTGCAGGTTTATCAGATGCATAAATTTGCTTATATTCCTCTATCATCTGTTGAGTACCATTGAGTAAATAGCAAATGACTGGTGACATTTCTTCAGGGAGCCAAAGTAATAATGTCTAGGTTTGTAGTTTATGGCAATCTTTCTATAGACATAATATATTGCTTAAAAAGGGATAATTGGGCTGGGCGTGGTGGCTCACACCTATAATCCCAGCACTTTGGGAGGCCGAGGCGGGTAGATCACGAGGTCAAGAGATCTAGACCATCCTGGTCAACATGGTGAAACCCCACCTCTACTAAAAATACAAAAACTAGCTGGGCATGGTGGTGCGCACCTGTAGTCCCAGCTACTCGGGAGGCTGAGCAGGAGAATTGCTTGAACCCAGAAGGCGGAGGTTACGGTGAGCCGAGATCATGCCATTGCACTCCAGTCTGAGTAACAAGAGCGAAACTCCATCTCAAAAAAAAAAAAAAAGATAACTGGCATTTTTGTTAGATTCTGAAATAGTCCCTTTTGGTCTTTTGACAAGCTAGAGAGCAGGCAATTCAATATTAAACTCTTGTGATGCTTGAAGTGCAGACTTTTAGTGTGAAATTAAAAAGATCCAGGCTGGGTGTGGTGGCTCACACCTGTAATCCCAGCACTTTGGGAGGCTGAGACAGGTGGATCACCTGAGGTCAGGAGTTCAAGACCAGCCTGGCCAAACGTGAAACCCGTCTCTACTAAAAATAAGCCAGGTGTGGTGGTGCACACCTGTAATCCCAGCTACTTGGGAGGTTGAGGCAAGAGAATCGCTTGAACCAAGGAGGCGGAGGTTACAGTGAGCTGAGATCGTGCCACTGCACTCCAGCCTGGGCAACAAGAGTGAAACTTCATCTCAAAAAAAGAAAAAGATCCATTTGTAGACATCAGATGTACAGGAAGCAGAGTGGATGTTGCTTTGAAAATGATAGGAGGTCATTTTACTGGAATACCTCAGAACAGGCATTATAGAGAATATTCCAGGCCTGTTCTGAGGTATTCCAGTAAAGCCTGTTAAGTTTCACATTGTAAATCACATAAATGACAGAGGCCTGGAAGATTGTGAAGGTAGACATGGTAGTGAAGCTTCCTGTGTGGTGAGCATGCAAATTGAGCAGGCTTCCTCCAAGCAAGCTTCCTGGGATGAGTTGGAAATCAAGGGACCCAGGGCTGCTGAGCTGTGGCTCTCCATGTTGTGTGCCCTTCGTTCCTGCAGCTTTGAGAACACTGCAGTGTGAGCTCTTACTTGCTCTCTCAACCCTGGCTAAGCTCTATTTTCTCTAACATGCCAGTTAAGTATCACCTGGGAAACGTTTGATGAGAATTGTGTAAGGAATACATTCCTGAGATAGGGGTCCCCTTTTAGTAGAGACAGTGTTTGCACCATGTTGGTCAGGCTGGTCTCAAACTCAGGACCTCAGGTGATCCGCCCGCCTCAGCCCTCCAAAGTGCTGGGATGACAGGCGTAAGCCACTGTGCCCTGCTAACTTTCTTTTAATTGGCTTATTTTCTGATCAGCTTTGAGACCTGAGCTGCTAACTCCTCCCTCACAATCCCTAGTACTGTTGAGATGTCTTGCATCATCTCAGGTCTCTTCTCTTTGCATTCCTGCCGCTCGACTTTTGGCACCTCTCTCCGGCCCAAGGTGTTCGTTTCCTAACTCATCACCCGGTGTTGCTCTCCCTTACACCCCTAGTCTATCCTGTATAGATCAGGTTAATCCTGTACCCCACTTTCCTGCTCAGTCTACAATGGCCCCATTGCCGACTGCAAGGATCTGTCATGGTGAAGTCCTACTTTGTCACTTTACGTTTGCAGGGGAATGAAGAGGAGACCCCCTCTAACAGTTGGGGGTCCTTCGCCAGCCCTGAAAACTTGAAACAAAGAGTTGTACAAATCCACTCAGCTATTGCTAGACATCAAAATAGATCAGGTCCCAAATGTTTGCTTCTGCCACCCCTTTTGCTTAGTTTTGGTTCACTATCAGTTTGGCTTCTTAGCTGCAAGCAGTAAACACCAACTCTGGCTAATTTAAGCAGTGGAGGACATTTATGAAAAGGATATTAAGATAGCAGCAGTGGCATGATTTTTCATTTCCCACAAGTTCCTCCATAAAATCCCAGCAACTAGGAAAACAAAACCCATGAGCAACATGAACAGCAAAAGTAACTGACAAGCCGTTTCCACAAACCCCTCACAGAAACAAGCTGAGTAATAGCATCTGCGCAGAAGAAAGCAAAGGGAAGCAATGGGGCATCTGATTGGTCTGGGAGCTCCAGATAGCCAGCAGGTACTTGAAGGCTGCAAGCCAGCTTGAAAGCAATGACTGGAGCTCGAAGGGGCGTGCACACTCCAACAGCAAATGAGAGAGAGACCCACAATAAACTGAAGGATATTACAGTACTACGGTTGGCTCTAAGAAATTCCCTTCTCCCACTCTAAGAAACCAGGGCTTCCTTTCTTCCTTCCCTTCCTTCCTTCCTTCCTTCCTTCCTTCCTTCCTTCCTTCCTTCCTTCCTTCCTTTTTCTTTCTTTCTTTTTTTCTTCTTTCTTTTTCTTTGGTTTCTTTCTTTTTCTTTCTCTTTCTTTCTTTCTTCCTTTTATTCCTTTCTTTTTTCTTTTTTTTGCCCCGAAAATAAATAAATAAATAAATAATCCATCTTTTATTCCTTCCTTTCTTCCCTCCCTTTCTTTTCTTTCTTTCCTTTTAAAGGAAATAATATGTTTGCTACAAAACCCACAAAAAATAATGATTATATACAAAATGGTTATCTGAATGTGGATTCTGTACTGCAGCAAAAGCAGCCCAGCTCTGGAACTCTATTTGGCTTCCTCAGTATCGAGTACATCATTGCCACGGATGAAGATGATGGCAAA